TCTTGAGATTCATCGGTACTCTTAAATGTATGAACCAGTTTCATATAATAAATCAAATATTTGTATGTGTTCACATATATATATATATATATATACACATCTTGTTAAGACGCCCACCCACTGCCAAAACATGCTAGTAGTTCCCATTTTTGTACTGGTGAGAATCTAATCTAGAGTCTTGTGCATGCTAGGCAGCTCCCTATTGGTAATTTTTGATCTAAAGATACAAGTTAGGAGCAGAGGGTGTAGTTCAATGGTAGAGTACTTGCCTAGCATGCACAATGCCCTGGATTTGATTCCCAGCATTGCAAAAACAAAAAAGACATAATGTAGCTTTTTGTGTTCACTAATCTAAGACTTTTAAAATGGACTTTAAAAAACTTTTAAGACGAATGTAAATTCATAGAAAATCATATGAAATATAAAGCTTGTATTTGTACCCTTTTCCCAGATTCCCCCAGCAGTTAAATTCTGTAAAATTATAGTACAATATCACAATTAGGAAAATTGTCCAAACACAGTCCAGTGACTTTACTCATATGTGACCAGTTTTACATGTACTCATGTGTTGTGGGTACATGCAGTTCTCTTTAATCTTATCACAGGTGCACATCAGGCCACATGACTTATTAGTATTTTTTCTTTTTTGTGGCACCGGGGATTGAACTCAGGCCCTTGTGCTTGCCAGGCAAGCACTTATTCTACTGAGCCCTCTCCCTGGCATGACGATGTGAAACAGGCAGGGCAGCAAGGCCTCAGCTCACGCGAGCCCTCCTGCTCCAGGGCTGGTTAGCGGCACTTTGGGAGGCAACATGCAGCATTTCTCTGAGCATTTTGCTTCTGACTTAATGACAACTTACCATCATTGTAGCCTACGCTAGGGGAGAGAAACTTACACTGCCTTTTTAATGAAGAAGCAACCACAGGCTTTTTCAGGCCACTCTTCCTTAGATTACTGCTCAGTGCATCTTGAGGCATTAGTGACCTATTCATCTGTGCACCTAAAGCACACACAAATCACGGCGTTTACAAACATGTCTGCAGAACACAAGCTAGCTTGCTACTCAGCTCTAAAGAATTGGAAGCACAAACAGCCTGCTAACTTCTAGGCTAGCTTCAGTTTCCAGAAGGAATCAGCATTAGCTTTTACACATAAAATTTTAACATGGAATGAATGCTCTTTATGGAAGTTGGTGAGGGGTGGGAAAACAGAAGTAAAAAGAGGAAAAGAGGTCACTCACTGCCCAATTTGGATGAGGCGTCTTCCTTTTTCTTCTCTGGGAACAGTTTGTTTTCATGATTTTAAGTAACTATACGTATGCCAGGGTTTGCCAGATTAGAAAAAATTCTTTTGAATTTCAGATAAACATTAGTTTTTTTTAGTAGAACAAGTATGCCCCAAATATTGTGTGGGAGATATTTAAGAAATTATTACTTTATCAGAAATTCACATTTAACTGAGCAAGCATTTTAGAGTTCTTTTTGGTTTTTTGAGAGGTCTCACTACATGTCCAAACTGGCCTTGCCTTCTTTTTTTATACCAGGAATTGAAATCAGGGCCTTATGCTTGCCAGGCATGTGCTGTGCTGCTGAGCTATACCACTAGGCCCAGGCTGGCCTTAAATTTGTATTCCTCCTGCCTTAGACTCTCTTAAGTGCTACAATTACAGATATATGCTCCCATGCTCTGACTTTACTGTAAATTTTAACAGCTGCCTATCATTCTATTATGAAGGTTTTTTTTTGAGACAGGGTCAGGTTTCCGCTATGCAGCTTGAGCTGGCCTTGTGCTCACTTTTATAAGCCTCCAGGCTGGTCTCGGACTCACAGAGATCCTCCTGGCTCAACCTCCCAAGTGTTGGGATTACAGGTGTGTACCACCATGCCCGGTTCTGGGGTCACATGGTGGGCACCTGCATGAGACCAAAATGGTGTGCATGGGCATCTCGGGTCAAGACTGCATGGCATGTGGGGCTGGGGATCAAACTCAGGAACTTGTGTTTTGCCAGGTAGTTGCTTTTTCTTGAAGAACTGGGGATTGAACTCAGGCCCTTGCACTTGCCAGGCGAGCATTTATTCTACTGAGCCATCTCCCTGGCCCTCCAGGTAGGTGCTTATGCCTCTGAGCTATCTTTCCGGCCCCTAAAGGTTCACTTAACTATACTCAGTGTATCTATTTATAACAGTTTCAACATAGTACTGTATATAATCATAAGATGAACATCTCTAGAAAAAATAATGTGCTTTCCATAGTAAGAATTGTTTCTTTATTATTTTTTTTTTTTTGCAGAATGGGGGATTGAACTCAGGCCCTTGTGCTTGTCAGGCAAGCACTTATTCTACTGAGCCGTCTCCCCGGCCCCGGATTATTTCTTTAAAAATATTTAGAAGTACAATTATGAAATCAATCAAAAGATAGAAACATTTAACCTCCTAAGAATTTCAGTTAAATTTCATTAAATCAACATTTAATGATTTATGGTCTATTGCTGATAGAATTGATTTTATACAATAACAAAATAACCGCATTTTGTTTTTCCATCTTCCTCCAACTTCCCCGCACCAAAACTTTAGTGTATGAGTCCACCTGATCCCTATCCAGCAATACTCTATTGAAAGACCGTTTCAAGGTGGGTTTTTGACAGTTGTGCTCCGTGGCACAGGCTGGCCTTGCACTCATTATCCTTTCATCTCAGTCTCCCAAGTTTCATGCACCAAGTATATACCTTAAGACCTGGTCATTTTAAGGTTCTTAACAGATACCACAAGCTATTTAGCTTTTTTTTTTTTGAGACATGGTCTCACTATGTAGTTTGGGGTTGCTTTGAACTCACAGTGATCCTCCTGCCTTAGCTTTTGAAGTGGTGGGATTACAGGTGTGTGCCAACACGCCTGGCCATAAGCTATTTTTAAAAATGGTCACAGCAATTTACACAACACTAGCTAGGACCAAGAGCCAGGATGTCATCTTTGCCTATGCTCTCATCATTTAAAAACTCTTTACTAACCGGCAGCAATAGTTATTTTAATTTTGTGTTTCTAAATGTTTTCACGAGCAGGGTGTGGTGGCTACACCTGTAATCTCAGCACTCAGGAGGCTGAGACAGGAGGATTGTTATGAGTTTCAGACCAGCCTGAGTGACAAATAAATAAAATATTTTCATTACACTGTTCACAATGAGTTTGCTGACTGACCTATATGTATGGATCAGGTAATATTTTCATTTTGTTTAGAGTATAGATCTTAACACTGATCTACTAAGGTACTTCAGCAATTTCACATTGATTTATATTAGTCTTTAAATGACATTAAATTTTTATATTTATTTATTTATTTTGTCTTTTGGAGACTGGGTCTCACTATTCAGGTTGGCCTTGAGCTCACATTGTAACCTAGCATGGCCTGGAACTCACAACGATCCTCCTGCCTCAGCCCCGAGTGCTGGGATTATAGGCATGTGCCACTGCATCTGGCTTTCAATTTATTTATTTATTGATTGATTGATTTAGGACAGGGTGTACAAGGTCTCACTGCGTAGATCGGACTCATAGTGATCCTCCTGTTTACAGCCTCTCAAGTGCTGGGATTACAGGTGTGCGCCACCATACCTAGTCTCAATCGCAGTAGTGCCCTGGGTGTGGGGGCCGGCATAGCAGGCCTGGGATCAAACTCCTGGCCTCTGCATCTGCCTAAGCAGGTGCTTTAATCCACTGAGCTATTTGGCCAGCCCTCAATTTATTTTTAAGATTTTTTTTTAAATTTATTTTACATTTATTTAGAGAGAGTGTGTGTGTGTGGCCAGCTCAGCCCACCTGGGGAGTGGTGCTGGGAGATCGAACTGCGGTCCCTGTGCTTTGCTAAGTTTGTTCTAAGTAGGTGCTTTAGACCACTGAGCCATCTCTCTAGCCCCCTCAATTTATTTTTTCGACTTTATTTATTTTTTTAAATTGGGGGGGCAGCTCAGCCCACCGGGGGCAGGGCTGGCTGGCATGTGGTGCTGGGGGACTGAACTGCAGTCTCTGTGCTTTGCTAAGCTTGTTCTAAGTAGGTGCTTTAGACCACTGAGCCATCTCACCAGCCCCTCAATTTATTTTTTAATGCATTTACTTACTAGTTTTATTATTTACTAGTTTTATTTACTATTTATTTTTTGACACATGGTCTCACTATGCAGTTTAGACTGGTCTTGAACTATGTTGCCCAGGCTACATGACAAACTCATGACAATCCTGCTGCTTAAGCCACCTGAATGCTGCAATTATAGGCCTGAGTCACGAAACTCAGCAGTAAGTATTTAAATTGAATGTATGTGCTATGTGTATAGGCAGTCCCTGATTTGTAATGGTTTCACTTAAAATTTTTTGACTGTACAAAGTCACAAAAGCCGTGACAGTTGTACAAAGTACAGTTCAAATGCTGGATTTCAACCTTGTCCTCAGATAGTAATATTTGGCATAATATTCTTTTATAGTGCTTAACAGTGGCCGCAGGTCCCAGTTAGCCATGAGATGACAAGGACAAATAACTGATCTTATGTGTAAAGCTCAGATGTTTGATGGGTTAGGTGTATGATAGGAATTTTCTAACTCATGGTATTTTCAATTTATGATAGGTTTAGCAGGATGTAAATATCATAAAGTGGGAATATCTATCTGTACAAAACATTGAAACAACAAACAAACTGTATTCCTAAATTAGGGTAGCAGATAATAACTGACTATTGTCATTAGTTACTTGGTGTTGGGGATCGAACCCAGGCTCTCATGCATGTAAAGCATGTGCTGTACTGCGGAACTATACTTCCAACCCACAAGTGTTTTTCTTTTTAAGTGTTTTCTGAAAACTTCATCATTCCATCCAAAGGTAGATTAAGATATACAATTAGTCTGAATGCTTACAGGAGGAACAAATATATACACAATAAAAATGGAAGGGCCAACCAAATAGCTCAGTGAATTAAAGCACCTGCTTAGGCAGACAGGGGCTGGAAGTTTGATCCCTGGGCCTGCTGTGCCAGCCCGGCCCCCAGGGCACAGTGAGACAGCAATTGAGACTGGGCATGATGGTACGTGCCTGCAATTCCAGCACTTGGGAGGGTGTAAACAGGCAGATCACTACGAGTCTGATTTATACAGTGAGACCCTATAGACCATGTCCTAAAAAACAAAAAACAAACAAAAAAAAGAACAATAAAAATGGAATTTGGATGCATCATATTTTACAACAGAATGTTACCTTTACCAGAATCACCGGTGGACCACGGGCTGGTGGTACAATGGGCTACGGATCAGAAGAATCACCAATGGAGATAAAATATTTTCAGGAAAAAAGAAAACCATAAGAAGGGTTGGGGGTGTAGTTCAGTGGTAGGGCACTTGCCTAGCATGTGTGAAGCCCCAGGCTCAACCCCAGCACTGCATACAACAAAAACAAAGCACATAAGAACACAGGGTTTTTTTTTGGATTTGTTTTTTGTTTTGTTTTGTTTTTTTCCGGAACTGGGGATTGAACTCAGGCCCTTCCACTTGCCAGGGAAGCGCTTATTCCACTGAACCATCTCCCTAGCCCCCCTTGTTTTTTTTGTTTTTTTTTAATAATTTCTGAGATTCAGGGAAAAAACATAAAATAATCTAGAAAGACAAACTACCAAACAAAGAAAGAAAACAGCTCTTACCAGGTACTTCATCCTTTTTCCTCTTTTTTGGCTTAGAGGCAGCAGATTCAGAGGCTGATACAACTGACTCTGAATGACATCCTAACTGGGGCACAATTATTTCTTTAAGACCTAAAAATAAAAGATTTGTGAATTAGAGACACTACCCAAAAATATGAGCTCCACCTGAATAAAAATTAATTTATAAAATTCTAAATCCCCAGAATGAAAGATGGTGAGATTACCCACTTTAAAACAAATTCACTGAATGATGAATCCCCAAACTGTGCTTTTGTTCATAACATACAAATTTGATAGAAGGCTCTAGAAAGCAATGCAACACTAAACAGTTGGGAGCTGCTGCTGATTAAAATCAAGATCACTGAGAAATGGAGGGGCTGGGGAGATGGCTTAGTAAAATAAGCGCTTCCCTGGCAAGCCCAAGGGCCTGAGTTCAATCCCTGGTTTCGCAAAAAAAAAAAAAAAAAGTAATGTAAAAAGGGCTGAGGATGGGGCTCTGTGGTAGTGCACCTGCCTAGCATGTGCAAGGCTAGGGTTCAATTCCTAGCTCTGATTTCATTTATTTATTTATTTTTTTAATTTTATTTATTTACGTGTGTGTGTGTGTGTGTGTGTGTGTGTGTAGCCAGCTCAGCCCACCAGGGGGCGGGCTGGCTGGCATGTGGTGCTGGGGGATTGAACCGCAGTCCCTGTGCTTTGCTAAGCTTGTTCTAAGTAGGTG